CATGAACTATACCAGATGACATTTTATTCTCAGATACACTTACTCTGTGTCCCAACTAGCTTGGAACTCTTAATCTCCTGTCTCACTCAGCTCCTGAGTATTGAGATTGCTCACATGTGACAAAATGTCCAGCTCACATGGTCTTTCTTTTGTTAAACCAATCCCAAAGTCATCCAGAAACAACATCAGAAAACCATATGGCATGTTGAAGTCTAGTGGGTCGGGACACAGCCATGAAAGCTCAGCCTTGCCACGTATTCTGCACAACCTGGGGTAAGTTACTAACCCCTCAGATTCTCAGTGTTCTCTAGGTTGTGAATAAAGATACTCTCATATTAATCTTGCACACTAGGAAGGGTTATACATTCACTTTACCTTAAACTGATAGATATAACATTAATCATAAAGTAAATAAACACCTGCAATGTGTCAGGTGCTGTGTTAACACAATCTATTATACAACACCCACAAAGAGTAGGCTGGAGAGATGGTTCAGTGGTGAGGAGCATTGGCTGCTCTTCCAGAGAATCCAGGCTCAGCTCCTAGCACCCACATGGCCCCTTCACCAGGGTCTGGAACTCTAATTCCAAGGAATCCATACCCTCTTGTGGTGCTTACCAGCACTGCATTCACAAGGTCGACAGACAGACATGCAGGCTAAACACCCAAACACAAAAGATAAAAATAATCTTTTTTAACTTAAATTAGAAACAATCTTATTTTACATATCAATCCCAGTTCCCTCTCCCTCCCATCCTCCCATGCCCCCCACCCCAGGGAGTGAGGCTTCCCATGGGGGATCATCAAAGTCTGTCACATCATTTGGGGCAGGGCCTAGGCCCTCAGCCATGTGTCTAGTCTGAGAGAGTATCCCTCTATGGGGTATGGGCTCCCAAAGTCCATTCATACACTAGGGATAAATACTGATCCACCACCAGAGGCCCCATAGACTGCCCAGGTCTCCTAACTGACTCCCACGTTCAGGGGTTCTGGTTGGGTACTCTGCTGTTTCCCAGCTGTCAGTCTTGGGGACCATGAGCTCCCCCTTGTTCAGATCAGCTGTTTCTGTGGGTTTCCCCAGCCTGATCTTGATCCCTTTGCTCATCACTCCTCCCTTTCTGCAGCTGGATTCCAGGAGTTTGGCTCAGTGTTTAGCTGTGGGTGTCTGCTTCCGCTTCCATCAGCTACTGGATGAAGGCTCTAGGATGGCATATAAGGTAGTCATCAATCTTATTATAGGGGAAGGGCATTTAAGGTAGCCTCTCCACTATTGTTTAGATTCTTAGTTGGGGTCATCCAAAAAATAATCTTTTTTAAAAAGCAAGAATTTCAAATTTCAACTATTTTGTACTCTACAGAATATAATCCAAATAGGGTAAATATTTCATGCTCTATGTATCCCAAGTGACTGGCAAGCTTATAGAAAATATAATCTAATACAGAGCACAAGGAAACAGTGCTTCCCATCATAATGAATGCCAGCTAAGTAAGTAAAGGTCATTAACAACAATGCCACCTTGATAGCTTTCATATACATTTTCTTACCCTTAGTTAACTTAGCTAAGCCAGGTTACCTATTTTCCCTTGCTTTTGGCTTACTTTGTTTGTGACTGGTCATGCTCTGGAGCCCAGGCTGGCCTACAACTCACAGCAATCCTCCTGCCTCAGCCTCCCAACGCTAGCTTATTGGCATGAGCTATATGCCTGGTTTTAAGTATTTTCTTAGTACTACAAATGCAAATGTGCACAAATCTGACTGCACAGTAAGAGAAGAAACGGCTACCTATGGTTGTTAGGCATTGTTCTAAAAGCATCAGATTAGCCTCAGTCTTCACATTGGCTCTGCAAATATGTGGTTTTCCTACAGTTTACACAATGAAATTCTAAGACACAGGAATACAGTTAACAGGCAGCAGGGAATGGACTATATACAGTCTTGCATGGTTCTGAAGCCCATACCCTATAAGAAACTTACCACACTGACTCTAATTAGTTTTGTTATTACTATGTCATGTTTCTTACATTTGAACCCAGATTTCATACAACTGAAATCTTTGAGAACAAAGGGCAAAAAGTATTAATTTTAAAATATTTAGTTACAAACTCTATGTTCTTACAATAAATAATTATAACATCATTAAAACGAAATTTCTATCTGCCAGTTATAGTATCAGATCAAACAGAGGCAATGTGAGATTTTGAATTCATTTCCTTTTTATAGCACACCCTGCTTTTTCCCTGTACTGCAATGCACAATAACTCAGAACTATTTGTAACTCAACTTCATTATGAGATGGTGGCATCACACAGTAGCCAGCTTGAAGATTCAATTTCTAGTCCACTATTTCTTAGTTCAGGACCTTGGGCAAGAAGATTAACTTTTTATTTCCCTTTTTGTTTGTTTTGTATTGTTTATCTTCTAGACAGGGTTTCTAGGTAGCCTTGGCTGTCCTGGAACTCACTCTATAGACCAGGCTGGCCTGGTCCATTTGTCTGTGCCTCCCAAATGCTAGGATTAAAGGTATGTATCTCCACCGCCCAATAAGAGTCAGTTTTGAGATGGTGAAGTGGACAAGCCCATGATATCAGCCTAGGCACTTAGGAGATGAAGGCAAAAGAATTGGGAGTTAGTTGAAGACCATCTTGGACTATATGTCATGACACTGTCTCAAACAAACACCCCAAAATATGTGTATAATCCTAGAATTCATAGGGTAAGGCAGGAGGACGGTAATGAGTTCCAAGAGATCCTGTCTCAAAAACAAAATAAATTTAAGACCAGGACAGACAGGGAGCCAATGAGTTGGTTGGAGTTCTGAATAAGAACAGTATTAATAGCTGGGCATGGTGTTACATGCCTTTAATCTCAGTGCTCAGAAGACAGAGGCAGGTGGATCTGAGTTTGAGACCAGCCTGGTCTACAAAGTGAGTTCCAGGACATCCAGGGCTGTTACACAGAGAAACTCTGTCTTAAAACAAAAACAAACAAAACCCCAGCATTAATAAATAGGTGAAAATGACCTATTGATATTGCATCAACTATTAGGAACTAGTCAATGTTATAACAATACCTAAGGCATCTGATGTGGTGATACATGTCTGTAATCCCAGTAGCACTGGGGAACCAGAGGCAGGAAGATTGAGACTCCTCACTCCCCAAGGTTGGCCCATGGCAGGCCTTGAACTCATGACTTTCTGACCTCAGCCCCCTGCAGGCTGTAATTACCGGTGTCCATTACCATGCCCAGCTCTTAGTTTCTCTTAAGTATCCCTCAGGTATGTAAGCTAAACAAAATGCTGGAAGGTACGGAATTTACAATTTTCATATCAAAGACCCAAAAGCACTTGTCAATATGGAATATTAAGTCACTGGAACTTTCATCCTGGCCACTCTGTAGCTAAAGGAGGCAAACAGGGATAGCCACAATGGTTAAGCAAATAGCACACAGAAGACGAAAGAAAACAAGGATTAAAAAAAAAAACCAAAACAACAGCATCAGCGAAAGTGCTTACAAGGCAAGGTGGGGAAGGGTACATGCCCTAATTATATATGGGAAAGGGGTGGGGAGAGTCACCAAGCAATTTAGAATGTTGAGTAAACACAATTCATAAGAAGCTGAAAAACAACTTAAGGAGGTAGAATTAAAGGCTAGGCGGCGGCTACGGGGAGAAGCCAGGGGTAGGACTCCCTCCTCTAGCTACAGAGTATACAACTTCCACAGGACAGTCGCATTTTTTGATCCAGTCCACAGATTCCTCATTTTCTGCACTGAGTGACGAGGTTTATTTTACTTTGTATTTCTTTTGAAGGCAGAAATATACCTAACTGCTGCCTCAAGAACACATCCAGTATCCTGCGGCGGAGTCTCTCCCTCACACATACACACAGGAGTCCTCCCTTCCAGTGCGTCTCACAACTCCCGAGGCTGACTTCATACTTCAGACCGCATTGGACTGTCAGCTTGTCGGGCTCCCGACCCAGAAAGGCGCGCAGTAAACACGGGAAATCAACATTGTGTGCACGCGTGCACTCGCGCCTTCCTCCTCCCCACCCCCCGCGCTGCTAGTAGGTCAGGACCTCGCATTCATCTTCATTCTGCCCCATCAAGCCATACACTCCCTCGTGGCCCCACGGGCTCCCAAGGAAGGGCTCGCCTTTTTCTCATCTTTGTGGCCCGCAGCCTACCACCGAGTCCTGCAGCACAAACTTCCGGCAATTACAGCAGGAGCTGGGTGCAGGCAGGACCCGGGAGGAAAACTGCAGCTACACCGTGGGGGGGGGGGGTGGGGGAGCCGCTGAAGCGTAGATTCGCCACTAGGGTCCCCGAGCTGACACTGGTGTGGGAAAGCCGAGAGATGGGCATCTAGGGGTGAGAGAAACCCGGTATCGCCGGGCCAACCTACCTTAGGGTAGGTGTGCAAGGGGTAGGTCAGCTGACAGGCCCGGTGACAGGACGCCGTGTCCCCCAGGACCGAGTCAAACGCTTCGGCCGCTGCAGTCCCCGAGCCTCCGGCCAGCGCCATGGTCAGCAGCAGCAGCGGCGGGAGCCCCAGCTGGGCCTGGACCCAAAGCTTCCCCTTTGGCGCCGCCATCTTGTTCCCCTCTGTCACAGCCGCTCGGCTTGTTGCTGTTTTCTTTTCAGGGTTTCTCCTTCTTCCGGGCCAGCCCCTTTCCCCGCCCCTCCGGCCAGCGCTTCCGACTCCGCGAGCTCCTCGGCTCCGCCCAGTCCCGCCCAAGCTGCTGCCTCCCGGCCCGCCTCTGGGACTGAGAACCTCTCCTGGGCGGGCTTGAGGACCCGGCCAACCATCGCGGCTGTGGGCGCGGAGAGGCGCCCGCCTCCTTCTCCTCAGCGAGGCCGACTGGGGCCTGTAATTCGCCGCGGCCGGGAGCGTGCTGGGGGTGTTGCCTCCTGCAGCCACGACCGCCGCGCGCCTCGCAGGGCGTTCTGGGAAGTGTAGTTCTCGTGAGATCACCGCCGAGGAACTGGGCCCGGGAAGAAGTGTACGAATAATTGCGAAGCGTGGTTGGACGGGGGATCTCGGGGGTCAAGAGACCAAGCTGTAGGCAGGCCGATTTTCCCGGTGGATCTCACGCTGAGCTGTAACTTGATAACCCCTTTCCAGGCCTTCGAGTGCTGGGGGTAAGGGAAGGGTGGGATTCTTGTTCATGGACCTGGTTGGGGTCCTCTGACCTCCGAGCAGTGGTTTCTGGTGCTGCTGCTGTATTGTGCCAAGGTCTGGAGATGGTTGTTGTTGGTCTTAGAGTAACTCTTGGGATTGGGGCCGCGGTGGAGTGGTTGTAAACCCAGTAGAACCCTAACTCTGGTACAACTCAAGTCAGCACACTACCTCGGGTATTAGAATCCTCTTCCCTCCCTTAGTGTGCCCTTCTGGAAGCTAAGAGACTAACCTAGGAAGTAAAGTTATCGTATGGTTTCAGTTTTTGAGAAGAGAGTTCCTCTCTCGAGAGGAAAGCTTACTAACTGTAAGTACCACCCAAGAGTCCCCATAATTCAGGAGTGTTTCTAGAAAATCCACATCTCCGTCTTAATGAAGTTTCGCCCTGTTTCTTGATCAGAATTCTCCTCAATCATCTGAAGGTAGTCGGAGCACCCAACAATGGATAAATTTGTCATTCGAACGCCTAGGACCCAGAATAGCCCGCAGAAGAAACAGCTCGGAGGAAAGGTTTACAAGCAAGCCACGATTGAATCTTTGAAGGTGAGAAGGGATCTGGGACCACAGAAAAAGTGCAAAGGATGAGGATAATGAGACACTGCCAAAGGGGATCGTGAGGATTTCTTAGTAGGCACATTTCAGGGACCATTTTTTTTTTTCTCTTTGTCACATAACTTGTGCAAACTTTTATCAATTCCTGTACCTCCCTGTACTAATACAATTACTCCGGCTTTAGAGTATGGTTGCTAACGGATAGGATCACCACCCCCCTTGATTAAAAGGTTTTTTGTTTGTTTGTTTTGTTTTGTTTTTCAAGACAGGGTTTATTAGTATAGGCCTGACTGTCCTTGAACTAGCTCTGTAGACCAGCCTAGCCGCAAACTCAGAGATCTGCCTGCCTCTGCCTCCCCTGCCCTGCACCAGCATGCCTGGGTGAAATGTATTCTTATAATGTATATCTGTGTCTATGGTGGGTGTGTTCTCTAGAAGCTTTGGATCTCTTTGGAGCTAGAGTAACAGTGATTGTGAAGTTACCTGAAGTGGTTGCTGGAAATTGAATTAGGGTCCTCTGCAAGAGCAGTATATGCTCTCAGCCACCCCTGAGCCATCATCTCTCCAGCCTAAAAGTTTTTGCCAGGAATATTAAAGTTTCAAGTAGGATTCTATATGCTGTAGAGACAAACCTAGTAAAGAGGAAGTGATGACACTTTACAGTGCTTTGGCATCTTATTGGCATATCCCTCTACGGCTCCACCTAGGACCACAGGGACTTAAATGTACTGTTGGCTCCCTGGAACTAAGTTTGATTCCAACTAGTTAGGAAGAGGCAGAGAGTATTTACAAATAAGCAGTGGAGCTAAGTGTGCTAGTGTAGACCTTGCACTTAGAAGGCTAGTGCAGAAAGATGGAGAGTTCAAGAATATGATGTGTTACATAGCAAGACTGTCTCAAGAAAAGAAATGAAATATATTAGGGGTGTAGCTCAATGGTACAGTGCTTGCTTGCCATGCCCTCCACTCAGTCTCTATCACCACACCAAGAAAATTTTAAAAAGCAATAATCATATAAATGCTATGTTAATTATGATTGTACTAAAAACAGCTTGCAGTGAATCTCTTTGGTCACCTTTTACCTTGTCTGCATTTCTGATTTACTTTTAGCTTTCCTGGTTGGTTTCTCTATACGTGAGATTCCCAATATCTGTGCTCCCTAGAGTTCTGCCTTGGTTTGTATGTTTATTCAGGGTGACCATATCTATCCCAAGGCTCTCTGTGTGTAACTGACACACCTGCACCTCCAGTCTACATTTCTGAAGGTAAGAGAGCATCTGGGACTAGAAACAGAGGTGGTAAGGCAGCGTTCTGAGTACTTGGTTTAGATCCTAGTTGTATTCTTTTCCTGGGCACCCCCATAGGCTTACCAGACCTGTATTAGAAAGCCCTGAAGAGGAGCTGCCAAGATGGTTTCCGGGGTGGGGACAGTGCTGGGGGATCAAACTCCAGGCCCCTTGACTGCTGAGTAAAGGCTCCACCACCAAGCTGTGTCTAGATCACCAGCCTCCGAAACTTTCTGTTCTTTCGAATCTACAATCCCTTTGCCAGCAATGCTCTTACTCCATTGTCTTGGAAGCCGTATAGTGTAGTGATTAAGAATATGCTGGAGCCGGGCAGGCAAGATGGCTCAGCAGGTAGAAGCACTTACTGCTGAGCCTGAAGATTTTAGTTCAGTCTAAACTAAACCACATGGTAGCAGGAGACAGCTGACTCCCGTAAGTGATTTTGCTATCCGTCTCCCAGGTACAAAACCACTCTGGTCGGAGGAGGATGGTCTTTGTGTCTCTTGTAGCTTAAGTAAGTTCCTCTTGCTGCACTTACTCATGCTTTCCCAAAGTTGCTTCTTTGCATGTCTGCATCCTGCAACACTCTGAGCTTCTTGAACCTGTGTCCTAGTGGTTTTGTGTCTCTACTGCCAGGTACAGGACTTGACATATAGTTTATTTTCCTAAACAACCATCTAGAACTCTAAAGTTTTGGCGTGACACCTGAGACCTTTCCTATTTGGCTCCAGCATGACTTACGTTATGTTATGGCTTTCCATTTGTGTGAGGACATTCTAGCCACCCTCTCCTTACTTTTTAACTTTTTTCTTTTATGGTTGTCTCTTTTAAGGGTTAGGGCTTTCTTTTGATGCTGGCCCCTTTTCCTGTAAAATCTTTCTCTTTGTTTTTATAGAGTTAATTTCTACTCATTTATCTACTCTATCAAGAACTACTTTCCTTGTGTCATGACTCCAGGGACTCTGAAATATTCACCTCTGTTCTCTTGGAATATATTAGAGTCTGGCATATTTTAAGTAGTCATTAAAAATTTGTTAAAATTGAATGTCGAGATATTTTCTGCCTCCTTTAAAAGCGTCAATCCTCCCGTCTTCAGTTCTCTCGCTCTCTCTTTAAAATTTTGTTCATCTTTTAAAAATATGTACGGGTACATATATGTATACACACCATGTTCATCTAGTACCCATGGCAGTAAGAAGAGGGCATCAGATCATTTGGGATCTGGAGTTACAGACCATTGTCAGCTGCCCTGTGGGTGCTGCAAACCAAACATCGGTTCCCCAGAAGAGCAGACAGTGAGTGCTCTGAACTGCTGAGCTATCTCTCCAGCCCCACTTAGGGTTTTGAAAGAAAAAAAGCAACTTTGTGCCCAGCACTCTGCTGGGTACTGCAGAGAACATAAGAGAAATCTGAGATCAAAATATGAGCCCTCATGAGACTCCCAATAAGGGCATGAGAGCATAATAACAATATAAAATTGTGCTGTGTTCAACTGTATGATTAAAGAATTTGGTAGATCCACTCTGTGCCAAGTTACTTATCCCACACACCAGCATCATGTTTTAGCTTTAGTTTTTACTTGTCTTGAGACAGCACCATGATATAGACCAAGCTGACTGGTGATCTTACTGCCTGGCCACCCTATGTTGGTTGGGATTAGAAGCCTGTTGTAGCTAGTCTTTCTCTGTCCTACCAGCCAGCTCCCAAATCATGACATGGAGACTTACTATTAATTATAAATGATCAGCTGGAGCCGGGTGGTGGTGGTGCAAGCCTTTATTCCCAGCACTAGGGAGGCAGAGGCAGGTGGATCTCTGTGAGTTGGAGACCAGCCTGATTTACAAGAGCTGGTTCCAGGACAGTCTCCAAAGCTGCAGAGAAACCCTGTCTTGAAAAATAAATAAGTAAATAAATAAAAATAAAAAATAATGTTTTTTTTTTGTTTGTTTGGTTTTTTTTTTTTTTTGGTTTTTCAAGACAGGGTTTCTCTGCAGCTTTGGAGACTGTCCTGGAACCAGCTCTTGTAAATCAGGCTGGTCTCCAACTCACAGAGATCCGCCTGCCTCTGCCTCCCAAGTGCTGGATTAAAGGCGTGTGCCACCAACGCCCGGCTTCTAACTAATTTTCAATTAGTGGTTGTTCAAAAGTAGACTCAACAATCCACACTTTTATTTCACCATTTCCATATTATATCCTCCTTTTTCTCTTCAGAAAGAGATTACTGAATCTAATCTCCTTTGTTTAGTTTTTCTTTTTCCCCTGACCATGACCAATAACAATTTGTAACCAACTCCACTAAACAATGACAAATATCCATAACCCACCAAATTATCACAAACCACACCCACCCCATCTCTTGGGAATGTGGGCATTGTGTCTCTAGACTGCTTCCTGTTGTCTGGAGGTACTGGCATCTTTAAGGGACCCTGAAAAAATTAAGATAATGGTCAAGTCCTGGGGGGAGCTAGCTGTTGTCCAGTCTCAGTGTAATGGGATAATGTAAGGATTATCTAAGGTTCTGGCTAGAGTAGTCTGTGATGCTGGACTCATCTCAGTCAGCAGCCTTGAAGCTGTTCTGGATACACAAGTCTGAGGAAACTACAAGAGAGACATTTTGAGAAGCTGGATCACCTGGGCTACCTGTTTTCATTGGTGTCTGGTCCTCTTCCGAAAACACACAAACTTTCAAAGTTAACATATATCTGCATTAACACCAGTATGGAATGTGCAGTATGCATAAGTCAGTTAAAGATCCATAGTTTTTGTTTTCCTCCTGTACAAAATAAGAGGGCAGCAGCAGGATGACTCCATGGGTAAAGGCACTTGCTGCCAAGCCTAACTAAGGACCTGGGTTTGATGACCTAGGACTTAAATGGTGGAAGGAGAGAGTCAACTTAGAACCAACACATATACCCTATGACCTATGCATACATAAATAAATAAAAATATAAAAATAAGATTTAAAGGCTTGTATAGTAAGCTCCAGGTAAGGTTGATGATAATGATGGCATTTGTCGAGCCTGTTTTTATAGCTAGGGCATTATATGATGCTTTATAGATATTAACTCTTAAGTCTTTGTAACAGCTATGAAAGGTATAGTTTTATCATTTACAGATGAAGAATCCAGAGGCTGGAGACATAGTTTACTGGCTAAGAACACTGGCTGTTCTTCCAGAGGACCTAGAACATGTCCAAACACCCATGACAGCTCACAACTGTCTATAACTCCAGCTCCAGGATATCTAGTATCCTCTTCTGGCCTCTGAGAGCACCAGGCATATACTTGGTGAACAGACATGCAAAAACCCATACACAAAGAGAAGAAAAGAAAAGAAAAGAAAAGAAGGAAGGAAGGAAGGAACCAGTGCATGAGAGATGAGGCATTTTGCCTAAGGCCAGTACAGCACTGAGTGTCAGAACTGGGGTTTGAACTAGGCAGTCTGAGTCCACACAGTCTGCCACTAAAACTAAAGAGAAATAGAAGTTTCTGAATGCCAAGCTGGGAGGTATGAAAATCTTAGGACCATTTTACTACTGTTATCAGCATATTACAAGTAATTTCACCATAGTCTTATCTCATTCAATAAAAGGGAGACTCGGTGGAATTCATGTAGTGCACATTTATATGGTAAAGGTCAATTTGGCTAATCTCATCTTACTCCTTTAGGAAGTGATTAGTTCCAAGAACACTTTTTTTTTTAACTA